TTCGACACAAGCTGGGGCCCCATCAGCGACGCTGCTCGTGACGTCACTTCCGGCCAGTCTGGCGGCAGAGGAGGCCTGGTGTGCAGGTAAGAGGAGCTAGCAAGGAGGGAGGGGGATGCAACCCTGACCAGCCTACCTTAGAACCCCTTCAGAGCCCACTATAGACAGTCTCAGATGGGCTGTGCAGCATCTATGGTGGGCTCAGCAGGGTCACTCTCAGGTGAGTCCAGCGCGTCACTAAGCCCTGAGTCCAGCGCGTCACTAAGCCCTGCGTCCAGCGGGTCACCAAGCCCTGCGTCCAGCAGGTCACCAAGCCCTGGGTCCAGCGGTTCACCAAGCCCTGGGTCCAGCGGTTCACCAAGCCCTGCGTCCAGCGGTTCACCAAGCCCTGCGTCCAGAGGTTCACCAAGCCCTGCGTCCAGAGGTTCACCAAGCCCTGCGTCCAGAGGTTCACCAAGCCCTGCGTCCAGCGGTTCACCAAGCCCTGCGTCCAGCGGTTCAAGCCCTGCGTCCAGCGGGCCACTAAGCCCTGTGGCGGTGCGGGGGGGCCCGGCCTAAAGCAGTGTAAGGGGCCCCAAAATTTCTGATGGCTGCCCTGCCGCCCACTCCTGGGAAGGTTCACCACTGTTCCATGTTTTCGCTATGTGTGGATAATGGCTCTCACTGTGGTTCACTGGAGTCCCAAAGCTTTAGAAATGGCTTTATAACCTTTTCCAGACTGATAGATCTCAATTACTTTATTTCTCATTTGTTCCTGGATTTCTTTGGATCTCGGCATGATGTGTAGCTTTTGAGGATCTTTTGGTCTACTTCACTTTGTCAGTCAAGTCTTAAGCTGGCCATACACCTTACAATAATCTGCAGATTTTCTGTGGTCAGATGGAAAAGATGCAACAGATTCCTCCATCTACACTTAACTGTGTGGATGTAGTAATCTCCACCTGGGCCAATCTGTTGCACCTTTTCCATCTGACCACAGAAAATCTGCAGATAAATTGTAAAGTGTGTGGGCACCTTTATTTAAGTGATTTCTTGATTGCGAACAGGTGTGGCAGTAATCAGGCCTGGGTGTGGCTAGAGAAATTGAACTCAGGTGTGAGTTAAGTTATGTTTTAACAGGGAGGGGGGGGGGCAAACACTTTTTCACACAGGGCCATGTGGCTTTGGATCTTGTTTTCCCTTAATAATAAAAACCTTCCTTTAAAAACTGCATGTTGTGTTTACTTGTGTTATCTTTGACTAATATTTAAATTTGTTTGATCATCTGAAACATTAACGTGTGACAAACATGCAAAACAATGAAAAATCAGGAAGGGGGCCAACAATTTTTCAGACAACTGTATATGTAGCCCTCTTCAGAAAAGTCTAGCGTAAGAACATTTGCCTTAGATACAAGCTACAGATCAAGAAATAAATGAAAATGATAGTGATTTGGCCCTGTAAAGATATATGATGCCAATGTTTTCTTTATTAAAGTACCTATACATATAAATTGATTACACTCTTCAACACAGGCCTGGAAGACACCAGCCTACAAATAACCCAAATGCTTCCAAGTTTGCTCAGAAAGCGGGAGGTGCTGATGTGTGTCCTCGATGCTCAAAATCGGTGTATGCTGCTGAAAAGGTGATCGGCGGAGGAAATGTAAGTAATAAGGACCTCTATTGAGTGCTGGGATTGTAGATTCTGGATGGAAAGCAGAGTTAACTGGGCCTTCTATGCACTGTGAAGTACACACATATTTATGGTTCATTTATGTTTACCTACACTCAGGTTATAGATATTTTTTTTCCTTGGAAGGGTTCAGTCTTGGGCACTCAGAGAAGAGACATTAGGCCGCATGCTTAGTGCGCCCCATGGAACTGAGGGTGTGACTAAATTGCGCTAACAGTGGGAGGAGTGTAAAATGTCCACAGACACAATCAGTTCCATACGGACACAACTAGAAACAGGTCTGCATAACCTGGACTGTACTGACACACCAGCAACATGTCTGCAGAGAGGGAATCAGCACCATGTTGACAGTTAGAATATATCCACAAACGCAGAATTAATATGTACCAACACACCAGAAATATGTCCACAGAATTAGTATCATAAAATTATTTATGGTACATATGCATTACAGATACATATTACATTATGTGTATATTACATTTATATGAAATATACATTTTACACATATAGTACATATTCATTGCATATACTTGGTGCTGCATGCTGCTTCACTGTCACTAGACAGACTGGAAGCAGTAATAATGGTTAACCTAGCTCTTTCTGCTCCCTCTGAATGCAAGTTCCCATTATCTATATTAGAGAATACTAATCTGGCCCATTATAGTAAATATAATAATGGTTATTCTAGCTCTTTGCATGTTGTCTGTGACTGAAAGCTCCAGATGGACCAGAATACGAGAAGGACTAGAGGAGCTTGCAGTCACAATATACTATACTATACAATATACTATACTAGAGAATACTAATCTGGCCCATTATAGTAAATATAATAATGGTTATTCTAGCTCTTAATTAAACATTGCAGCAGGGATCATTTTTAAAAAAATGACGTATGCTTATATTTTCTATGTGTCTTTTAGTCTTGGCACAAGGCGTGCTTTCGTTGTGCTAATTGTGGGAAAGGTTTGGAATCCACTACACTGGCAGATAAGGATGGGGAGATATTCTGCAAAGGTATATCGTTTTTTATATTGTTTTTATTTCCACTGTTGACAATATATTGTAATACACATGGTTTATATATTTTTTTAAATGTGTTTATATATCACTTTGTAAATATAACGAAGAGAACAACAAACAGTTACATAATTGCAATGACTGCACACACAGGTGTGCTAAACGAAGCAGATAAAAGAAGCATACTCAGCCATGCCTCATATACTTCTGCCCTGTGAGCAAAAAATCCACTTTGTTTAGAGTTATTACAAAACTTTCCTCTTGCCCTGGAGAGAGAGATAGATACCTTTTCAGGTAGACAACATGATAATATGCTTGGATATACTGTATTATTAAGGCGGAACCCTGTCATCTATCATAATTAATTATAATTATTGATGTGTATAGTATATATCAACTGTAGCGGGGGGAATGCGCTCCACACAAAGGGAGGACCAGCACGGGGGAGAGGGCGCCGATTTGAGGGGGAAATTACATTTTCTCACATTTCCTATTCTTGGCATGCCAGGTATAAAGCCAAAAGCACCCTATGCATATGGACAGATATGACATTTTGCCATCAGACAACACTGGCAGCAATTACAATTACATTACAAATGCCAGATACAAGCATGTATGCTTATAAGAGACCATCACAGCTGAACTTCAGGGCTCCAGGCATTTGGTCCAAAAACTCCAGGAGACTAGGGTTTGTCCTTGAGATGGAGAGGTCTCCTTTAAGAGAGATTACTCATGTAAGGGGGCACGCTGATGGGGGCAACTAATAATTAGTTGTCCCCATCAGAGTACTCCCTTACATTGGTTGTTCCATCAGCATGCCCTTACATTAAACTGTCCCCATCTGAGTTCCCTCATACCTTTCCTTAACAGGATGCAGGCCTGGAAGGAAGAAGTTACTCTTCAGTCCTCTTGTGATGCTGTGGGCAGGGCATGTATGTGACTTCACAGGAGTAGAGGAGAGGGGTAAACCAGCGCTGGGTTATGGCTGGCTGTGTATGTGCCGGCCTCAGAAAGTCTCCGAGGCCGGTGCATTCCGTGTCAGTCAGCCATAACCCAGCTCTGGTGTGTGATCCTGTGTGATCGTAGCACGGATAGAATAGTCACATATACAGATTTTGGCTTCCTTTTTCTTTATTCTACTCACCCTGTCTAGTAACCTTGGAACATCCGTCCAACAAAAGATTCATAGGGAAATAGGTTGAAGGTGGTGTTAAGAGGAGTCACAAGACTTTTTGAATTTCAGGCAACATGTTTGTATGACTCTTCTGTATCTGTTTTGCATATAATTAGAGCTATTTTTGTAATCTTTTTTTTTTTTTTGCTCACCCTCAGGATGCTACGCAAAGAACTTTGGTCCAAAAGGCTTTGGTTTCGGCCAGGGTGCTGGTGCTCTAGCCCACACTTAATGAAATATGTTTTTGACTTGTCCTCACTAATCAGTAGACACAGTAAAATGATCAGTGACAGATGCAATTGCTTATCACTGCTACCAATTAAATGCTGCAGCTTTGAAAATTATTTTATGTCAGAGGTGTGTCTACAAATATTTAAAACGCATTGATTAAGTTTAAAACTTGTATGAAATCCAAACAGGATGTCAAAATAATACAAAGTAAAGCAAGCAGAGGTTCATTGAGCAGTTATATCTTTCCTTATAAGACTGCCACACAGAGGAAAATTAGAGTTTACTACTGCAAAATACATTTCTGCTTTTTTGTATTGGTAATCACACACACCTAAAAAAAACCATACATAGTTTACATACGCCTTGTTGCTGCCTTAAATTGGCCATACACCCATAGATTATCTGCAGATTTTCTGTGTTCAGATGGAAAAAGTGCAATAGATACCTCCATCTATGCTAAACTGTGTGGATGGAGGAATCTGCCACTGGGCCAAGCATCAGTATCTGGCTAGTTGGCCCCGCTGGCTCTCAAAACACCTGAACAATGCCTCCATCCAATAAGATTGTTCAGGTATTTTGACAGCCATCGGGGCCGACTAGCCAGATACTGAAGCTTGGCCCAGTGGTGGATTCCTCCATCCACACAGTTTAGCGTAGATGGAGGAATCTGTTGCACTTTTTCCATCTGACTAGAGAAAAATCTGCAGATAATTGTAAGGTGTATGGCCAGCTTTAGAACACTAATGAAAGTAAAGAACATGCTAAAGCTAGGCTATTTTTGGGCTTACTTTGTATAAATTTTGCAATTAATATAGAAAGAAATTGTAATGTGCAGCTGTTGGATGGCTTTTCACGCCGCATTACTGTTTTTCACATAAATATAATAAACGTATATTTATAGCATTATGTGTCTCTTTTTTGAGCCGTGAAATGTAATGGTGTGTGCAAGATTATAAAGCAGCACGGATCATTTTAGCTTCAGATGCCTATATAGCACGGGCTTACAAGCATCTGTGGGATTCAAAGGGAAATCTGTACACAGAAGCAAAGCATTATTGCACTTAAAAATGATGCATTTGTACATGTCTCAGAGTCCTGCTTCCAGCAATATTGCCTGTAGCCTCCTCTCTCCTAGTGCTTCCCTGAACTGTGCCCTGAAAAATCAGCCCTCGGGAGAAAAGCTGTTGATCAGCTCAATGCAAAGCTAGTTTTCTGCCTCCAAACCCTCTATTGGTGGCAAGGGACGGAACAACTTATTTATACAAAAAACAGATGCAAACAAGATTCATCTTAGTACGTTTCCATAATCACCAATATACGATTTCCGACAAGCTCGGCCTCCGTTAATATTTATATCCTGCGGGGATGTCTGCTTTCACCGGGCCCCGCCTGAGCAGTACATCCCCATTCACTTCTATGGGGCTTATCCTTTTTCCTGGTGTAGCCACCAGTGTCTTAGACTGCTGAAGGCAAAGAGCTTTGTTGAAGTGAGGCAGTTGTAAACTGCTATGCCACTTGACAACTAGCTTAATTTAGCATTAACCCTACACTGAGGATTATTCTAAATGCTCAGTGTAGGGCTGCATTGATGTGTATGGTATACATTGGCTGTGGCGGGGGGAATGGCGCTCCACACAAAGGTAGAACCAGCAAGGGGGGAGTGGGAGGGACGCTGCTTTGAGGGGGAAATTACATTTTCTCACATTTCATATCCTTGGCATGCCAGGTTTAAAGCCAAAGCGCCCTATCCATATGAATAGACCTAAGCCAAATGCAAGATACAAGCATAAATACTTATAAGAGACCATCACAGCTGAACTTCAGAGCTCTAGGCACTTGGTCCAAGAATTCCAGGAAACAAGGGTTTGTCCTTGAGATGGAGAGGTCTCCTTCAAGAGGGATTACTAATGTAAGGGGGCACTCTGATGGGGACAACTAATGATTAGTTGTCCCCATCAGAGTACTCACTTACATTGGTTGTTCCATCAGTGTGCCCCTTACATTAAAATTGTCCCCATCTGAGTTCCCTCATACCTTCCCTTAACAGGCTGCAGGCCTGCAAGGAAGTAGTTACTCTTCAGTGCTCTTGTAATCGTGGGGGCAGGGCACGTATGTGACGTCACAGGAGGAGAGGGGGAAACCTGCACTGGGTTATGGCTGGCTATTTATTTGCCGGCCTCAGAGAGCTGACTGACGGTGCATCCCCTGTCAATCAGCCATAACCCAGCTCAGGTGTGTGATCGTGGCCCGGACAGAATAGTCACAATCAAATTTACAGATTTTGGCTACCTTTTTCTTTATTCTCCTCACCCTGTCTGGTAACCTTGGAACATCCGTTGAGCAAAAAATTCATAAGTAAAAAGGTTGAAGGTGGTTTTAAGAGGAGTCACAAGACTTTCTGAATTCCCAGCAACATATTTGTATGACTCTTCTGTATGTGTTTAGCATATAATTAGAGCTATTTTTAAAAACTTTTTTTTTTGCTCACCATCAGGATGCTACGCAAAGAACCTTGGTCCAAAAGGCTTTGGTTTCGGCCAGGGTGCTGGTGCTCTAGCCATATTAATCTTCACTAACCATAAGACAAATTAAATGATCAGTGACAGATGCAATTGCTTATCACTGCTACCAATTACATGCCGCAGCTTTGGAAATTATTTATGGTCAGAGGTGTGTCTACAAATATTTCAAGTGCATTGGTTAAATTTAAAACTTGTATGAAATCCTAACAGGATGTCAAACTAATAAATAGGTAAGCATGCAGAGGTTTATTGAGCAGGTATATCTTTCCTTCTAACACTGCCACACAGAGGAAAATTAGAGTTTACTACTGCAAAATACATCTATGCTTTTTTGTATTGGTAATGACTATTCTCAGATTTTTGTATTAGCGATTTATCCCATGCTGAGACCTCTATGCCTGGCCTTTATAAGCAGATATACAGGTGAAACTCGAATAATTAGAATATTGTGCAAAGTTCATTTATTTCACTAATGCAACTTAAAAGGTGAAACTAATATATGAGATAGACTCATTACATGCAAAGCAAGATAATTCAAGCCGTGATTTGTCATAATTGTGATGATTATGGCTTACAGCTCATGAAAACCCCAAGAACCCCAAATCCACAACCTCAAAAAAGTAGATTATTACATGCAATCAATAAAACAATTTGCAATTGCAATTGCCCGGGACCTGCAAGAAGACTGACAGGTGCCAACCAATAGGAAACAGCAGTTGCTAGCTCCGCCCAATTGTTTATATTTTGCCGGCATCTGTCAGATTCGACATTATGCGGATAGATTACGTTGCGTGCGATCAGGTCGGCATGCGTCGGGGTTTTTTTTTTATTCATGTATTTTTTCTTTTCTTTAAAATATTTTTATTATTTTCTGAATTTTTTTAATTTTACTTTTTTCAACATTTAAAAAAAAAAGTATTTTAAGTTTTTTTCTATTCTGCTCCTTACCTCAGAGGTAGCGAGCAGAATAGCCGAGCCTAATGCCGCTCGGCAGCATTCGTCTATTCACTCACTGCCGTTTGGCCGCTATGAATGAGAATAGGGGCGAACAGTAGCGAGTGATCTGCCAGAGAGTCGAATTCCTTCTGCACTTTGGCTCAGCTGAACATGTAGAGTATGTTTGGCTGATCGAAGGCAGCTGATGTACAGCTGATTTTAGCCGATGTATGGCTGAAATCAGCCATACAAGGCTAAGGCGAATAGCCGAACAGCGTTCGGGTCACTTCGGCTTGGTTGATCATTCGGCTGCCTGGGGCAGCTAAGTGAATAACCCCCTTGGTGTGGCCACCCTTTGCCATCAAAACAGCATCAATTCTTCTAGGTACACTTGCACACAGTTTATAAAGGAATTTGGCAGGTAGGTTGTTTCAAACATCTTGGAGAGCTAACCACAGATCTTCTGTGAATGTAGGCTGCCTGAAAGTGACATTAAAGCTCCCCCCCTCCCCATGCTGCTGTAAGCTGCCTTTGGATGTAGGCTGTCTCTTCATGTAATCCCAGACAGACTCGATGATGTTGAGATCAGGGCTCTGTGGGGGCCAAACCATCACTTCCAGGACTCCTTGTTCTTCTTGACGCTGAAGATAGTTCTTAATGACATTAGCTGTGCGTTTGGAGTCGTTGTCCTGCTGCAAAATAAATTTATGGCCAATCACACCCTCCCTGATGGTATGGCATAATGGATAGGTATCTGCTTGTATTTCTCAGCATTGAGGACACCATTGATCCTGACCAAGGGGTTGATTTACTAACCTTATAAACACACCACGAACATGTATACACCTCTGTAGTGTGTTCCCTCCCAGCATGATCTATGGGTGGAATCTAAACACCTTTGTAGTGTGTACACACCCAGCAGGTGTGTTGTGCAAAGCCCTGCATGAATTGCAAGGTGATGTTGTGTAAATTAGCTCTATGTTGTGTTGCTTGTGTTGATGAATGCAGGAATGTAAATGCATGAGCTAACCATTTTTGTCTAAACTGTGAAGCAGCATTATATATGCATCATGTGCATGATTTTTCCATATATGGCATTAGTGGAAATATGCTTTTAGAGACTTTTGGTTGATAAATAAGTTTTGCTGTGTGAAAATCACACGCACCTGGTGCGTGCGTGTGTTTAGGTTAGTAAATCACCCCCCAAATCTCCAACTCCTTTGGCAGAAATGCAGTCCCAGACTTGCAAGGAACCTCCACCATGCTTCGCTGTTGCCTGCTGACACTCAATGTACCGAACAAACTGCCTCTTGCTACATCAAATATTTCATATTCTGACTCATCAGTCCAGAGCACCTGCTGCCATTTTTCTGCATCCCAGTTCCTATGTCTTCATGCATAGGCACTTTGCCCTGTTTCCACGTCGGAGGTATGACTTTTTGGCTGCAATTCTTCCATGAAGACTACTTCAGGCCAAACTTCTCCGGACAATGGATGGGTATACCTGGGTTCCACTGGTTTTCCGCCAGATCAGTGCTGGACATCTTCTGATGTTGAGGAGAAGTGTGCATGTTGTGTCTTTCATCTTCTGC